TAAGAGAGGGATGGGGAAGGAGGTGGGAATATGGGCAGGAGGGTGGGCACCAGGAGAAAAATCATGATGTATGGCCGGTGCCACAGCTCACTAGGCTAATCCTCTGCCTGCGGCGCCAGCACCCCAGGTTCTAGTCCTGGTTGGGGGGCCGGGTTCTGTCCCGGTTGCTCCTCTTCCAGTCCAGCTCTCTGCTGTGGCCCGGGAAGGCAGTGGAAGATGTCCCAAGTGCTTGGGCCCTGCACCTGCATGGGAGACCAGGAGGAAGCACCTAGCTCCTGGCTTCAGATCAGTGCAACACTCCACCCATAGTAGCCATTTGGGGGTGAACCAATGGAAAAGGAAGACCTTTCTCTCTGTCTCTCTAACTCTGCCTGTCAAAAAAAAAAAAAAAAAAAGTAAAATCTCCATGTTCCTAAAGCTGTAATTATGAAATGTATGAAGTTTATAACTATAAAGCTATATAGTTCTGCATACATTCCTATAGACTTACTTCTAAGGGTACAATTTAAAAAAGTTCCATGGGACCCCAAATTCCCTTAAGCTGAGCGGTAAAAATAGCAGTCTAAGTGTTAAAGTGAACATATGGATAGGATTAAGTATTAAAATGGTCATATAGATAGGATTAAGTGTCAAAGTGATCATATAAATAGGATTAAGTGGTAATAATAATAACAAATAGAATTAAAAAGGAATGAATGCTCCAACATGGGAAGCAGTCCATACAGTGGACTCACAAGATTGATAATCACTTTAAGTAGAACTCTGATGTCAGAATCAGCCCTTAAGGCATTCCGTTCTGGCTGAAAAGATTATGAGAGCATTTCAGGCATGGAAAGCTAAGATGCTGTGTCAAAAAGTATACTACGGAAGGACCTCTGTGGGTGACACCTCAGTGGCAAGAAGTGGTCAAAGAAGGATGTATGTATCTCTGAAGGGAAGAGAAAACTACGTTGCTTATGGCCCTGTCTAAATATTAACAGTTTGTGGGTTTAAAAGGCTTCCATAGCCTAGGCAGCTCATATCATGAGCCTCGGCAGATCATGGACATGACATCTTAAAGTGTTAATTGTTAAATTAACAACAGGAGTCACCATGCACTAACTTCCCATGCAGGACTCTGTCTTCAAAGAGTTGTATTCTGACAGCTAATAGTAAAACTTGCTCTCAAATATTTACTTGATTTTACTGTATTATGTGGAGGATATTCTTATGTCTCATAAGTTTTAGTTATGTCTAAGTGTTCACAAAAGACATATCATTCTTGGGTTCTTCTTTAAAATTAATGAAATTTCTCAAAAAAAAAGAATGCTTAAAAATATAGTGAAATCAACTTTGAGATGCAATGACTCTGAACAGCCCTTGTCTCAACTGTTGAGGAACATTTTTTTTTCCAATTTGTTGTACTCTTTACTTAGTATAGAGTTAATCTTCTGTATATAAAGCTAATTAAAAACAGATCTTAGTAAAACAATAAGATGGAATAAGAAAGGGAGCAGGAAGAGGGGTGAGAAGGCTGGTATGGTACAAAGAATCACTATGTTCCTAAGGTTGTACTTAGGAAATGCATGAAGTTTGTATTCCTTAAATAAAAGGTTTCTTTAGGGAAAGAAGACACCAATTGTACATCTTATTGGGTACAATGTGACATTCTGATACATGAATATATTGAGCAATGTCTAAGCAGGGTAAATATATTTATATCCTGGAGCATTTAACATTTCTTTAGGGTAAAAACATTAAAAATTTCTACATTCTAAAAAAATTTAAAAATCCAATAAAAAGGATAAACAAGCCCATTCAACCATCCATACTTTGAACTTGAGAAACAATAAATGTCTAAGTGTAAACAGCACAAACATTGTATTTCTCAATTCTAACAGTAGTTTAATACTTCCACTATAAATACTTATAATATTAACCCTGGCTTTATCACATTTATAGAAGCAATATGACAACTCAATGTAATCATCTGGTGTTAAGGTTTATTTTGTTTACACCAAGAGGAATGATTATTTTAATAAAAGACAATTATTTTATTTCAAGGATTTCAGTATGAAACACATTTATCAAGAATATTCTATGTTGTAATTATTAGCAACACCCAAATGCATATCAAATTGGCAAGGTACAAAAACATAATGGGAAAAAATGTGAGCCAATATGCATGGTTTAAAATTTTGTCAAAGTCTGCCACAGTACCTCTTGGTATTCATATAGAAAACCACATTTTTTAAAAATTTATTTCAAAGAGCAACAGAGAGAGAAAGAGAGAGAGAGAGAGAGAGGGAGAGAGGGAGAGAGAGAGAGAGAGAGAGAGAGAATAAGATCTTCTATTTGCTGGTTCACTTCTCGAATGGCTGCAACAGACAAGCATCGGCCAGGAACTCCACCCTGGTTTCCCTCATGGATGGCAGGAGCCCACGTACTTGGGCCCTCTGCTGCTGCTTCCCCAGGAACATTAGCAGAGAACTGGATCAGGAATTGGCACTGTGGAGACTTGAACTGGAATTCCAATATGGGATGCTGGTATTGCAAGAAGCCCCTTAACTGCCAAACCTAAACCATCTAAAAATGAAAGGAGGGGGGCAGCACTGTGGCATAACAGGTAAAGTTGCCTCCTGCAGTTTCGGCATCCCATATGGGTGCCAGTTGAGTCCTGGCTGCTCCATTTCTCTGCTATGGCCTAGGAAAGCAGTAGAAGATGGCCCAACTCCTTGGGCCCCTGCACCGCGTGGGAGACCTAGAAGCAACTCCTGGCTCTGGATCGGTGTAGTTCAGGCCATTGCGGCCAACTGAGGAGTGAACCAGAGGATGGAAGATCTCCCTTTCCCTCTGCCTCCCCTTTGCTCTCTTTGTAACTGACTTTCAAATAAATAAATAAATCTTTAAAAAAAAGGGGGGGGGGAGGACAGCTGTTGGAACACAGCAAGTTAAGCTGCTATTGGAGACATCCAAATCCTATATCAGAATTTCTGGGATGGAGTCTCACCTCCATTTCCAATCCAGCTTCCTGCTAATATGCCCAAGTACTTGGGCCTCTGTCACTCACAATGGAGACCTATTTAGAGTTCCAAGCTCCTGGGTTCACGAAGGTTCAGCCCACCATTGCAGCTATTTGCAAAATGAAACAGAAGATGGAAGATCTCTTCCACTCTACTCGTCACATCATGTCAGTCTCTTAAATAAATACATAAATTTTTAAAATAAATAAAAGTGAATATACATGGCTTTTACGTGGCAATAGGGACACGGAGAACTACACAAAAACAGAGAATAGCCTCTCATTTTTTTCAGATGCATTAAGTTACAGGATGTTGAGACTGTAAAGGTCCTTGATATCACCTTCCCCCACAGAATCCACATATAAAATTCACTTCTTGCATTCCTTGTTTGATAGAGATCATTTTATACGAAGAGAGCCTATGTTTGAGAAGTTGCTCATGGTAATTCCATACCAAACATTTAAATTGTTCCGAAAATATAACTCCCTATAAATCTGCATTAGAAGATTACTTTATCTTTATGTGACAACTATTCAATATAAAAATACTTATGATACACATATTGAGCGTATTATTTGCTAGACTAACTATCCCCAACCCTTTCATCTCATTATTACATGATGCTGTTTTCATCCTATTCTATTTCTTTCAGATGTTTTCTCCAGGTTAACGATGCTTTCATTCTTCCCATGAAGTTGAACACAAATTTTCAAATATGGGAGAGTGATCGATCACTGAATATTACTATAGTCTGAGTATGATTTGGCTCCCAAACTCATGCAGAACATTAAACTCCAAAATCATGTTAATGGTACTAAGAAGGGAGAAATATAATCCAATTATTGTATTTAGGTCTAGTGGAAAGTCCTCAGGTCATTGAGGGCATGCCCTTGACATGCCCTTGGAAGGCAGTTCTCACCAAAGTGTTGTTCAATAAAGTCTGAGCTGGTCCAGCAGCTCTCTCCCTGCTTCCTGGCTAACCAGGTGCTGATTCCTCAGCATGCTCTCTGCCACTGCCACCCTCCATGCAGACCCTTGCAGCCCTCCCAGTCTGGGATTGCGAACCTCCAAAAAGCACTTACCCAAAATAAACCTCTCCCTCTCATAAGTATTTCCTCTCAAGCGTTTGTTATGGTAATAAAGATCTGACATATACACATTCATTTTTTAAAAAGCAATCCTACAGTTTATGATTAGATCATGGGAAATTTTAATACCTTGGGATTTAACCATATAAACTACAAACAACTCAGGTTTCCCTCCTTTCACTTCTGCATTATATTTTATTCTAAGACTATAAAGATTGCTGTACTTTTCAATCTTGTGAACTTTGTCCCAAAAATACAAAATCATTTTGAATGACAATTAAGCCATTATACCTCTAAGATTTTTATCTATAATCTGATAAATGTTTGATAAATTTTCATACCTTTGATAAAATTAAATAGAATAGCCGTATGAGGACAGTTTGTAGAATATACATAGAAACTTTATGCTTCATTGAAATTAATACAGGCATTCAAATCTCCAAGCAGTTACCTACTCAGCTATAAAACTGGCCATTCTACTTCTCTTCATTATACACAAATCTGTTGTCAGAAACTTTTAGTTAAGACTGAGACATCATATTCTTGGAAATCCACTAATACTACAAAAACAGGTGAATCTATATGGTAATGTTTTATGACAGATATTTAAATTTTTAAAGCTCTAAAACAAGTACCATTTTTATAATACTTTCTAGAAATCTATGAGGGATAGACATCCAGCCTGTTACCGTATGTTCTTCAGAACTTAATTTTTACTGACTTTGTTCTTCAGTTCAACAGAAATAACTGGGTATTGTTTCTTAAATATCTGTTCATTTCTTCAACTTATATTTGTAACCTGAAAAAACATTTTTAAAAAAGGTCTCATGTCTACATCAAATTTTTCTGTTCCTCTTCAGGACTGCTTCTCAAAAGATTTCAGTAAACAAATATGTTTAAAATCTATTACCTCATATAAAACTGTTGTGTTCCCATGCAGAAGAGGTCCATAACAGATATAGGAATGTCCAACGACCCAACCTAAGTCAGAAGCTGCCCACCACACCTAGGAAATAAGAAGATAAGAAAATGAACATATTTTTGTAGGAGGACTCAATATGTAATGCAGGGTTCCAAAGTGGCAGCTTAACCCACTGTGCCACAACACCTGCCCCTAAAAAACACGTATCTTGATCAAAGAAAAGTCACGTAATGTTAGTTTGAAATCATGATTACCTCTCCAGGTTTCAGTCCATATATTGACGACATTGACCAGTTCAGCATTACAGCATATCCCCCAGTAGGCCTAACCACACCCTAAGAGAAAAAAAGTGAGTTAAAAATCAATAAACAATTTATTAACAGATTATCAAAGTTCACCAACTTTAGCAGTCCCTGGTTTAAAATACTTTACATTCTATAATACACAAATTACTTTGGCTTTTACATTATCGGTTAAATCATTAGTTTTATGCATCCTCCAATACTTAACAAAGAACGATATGTTTTCCTCGGTATCATTCCCATGTAACAGTCTCGACCTTTTAAAGAAAACATAATTTCACAAAACCACATGCAAGGAACATTTTTCCAGTGGTGGCACACACAATCAGCATTTTATTTTCATACTTATTTCCAGAACAAAAATGGAAACCTTCAAAATTAAGTACACAGAAATATAAAAACATAGTTATGCTTCTAAAAAACAGACTAACATGCAGACATCAATTCCTTAAGATGATGAAATAATGGACAGCAACTAAGAGGAAACCCCATCACATGCTAACTGGATTCCCATTACAACTTTACACTGCATGATGGAAGCCCAGAATTAGGCCTGTGGAATGCTTTAATAACGAATTCTGGAATTCCGCTGAAATAGGATCTAAGGCTAACCAATTCGCCTTATATTGCATCTTGGACAAAAGTTGGCATGGTTATATATTTGCCATACCACTTTCACAAATCAGCTTCAAATACCTTTCCACAACAGTGTGAACCCATTCAACTCCAATATAATATTAATATTTGAACACTGGTGGTATGAGTCATTATAAATAAGAACCATGGTCAATTTAATACCTAACTCTACTTACTGCTCCATATAAATATACATTAATCACCATTTGCTCAATGATACACAAATATAAAAAATCAATTGTACAGATGAATACCTATTAAATGCAATACAATATTCCATTCTCATGTTTTTTTCATACAGCAGTTATAGCTGCTCTATGCAAAAGATAACTGTTTTATATAAAAGGGCAAATATGGTCCTAATTAATAAATGTGCTATTAATTGTACTTTCTTGGCAGAGCTCTGCAGCTTTCAAACACATACATGAATCAAGGGAATGAAAAAGAAATTGACTTTCTGTTAGTCACTGAAATTGCTGTGCTCCTCAGGTACTACTAATAAAACATAAGTATCAAGCTGTGGAACATATTTTATCTACCAGCAACAACACCTGGTCTCTTGGCAAATATTAAAGGCAGCTTTGTTGGCATCTGAAAGCTGTTTTCTAGGTTGTATGACATGGCTAATATGCAGCTGGCCCTCCTGATCACCTTGGGAATATTAAAAACCCTAAGCCCTCTGCCAGTGGGCTTCACACATGTACTTGCCCACACACACTGAGCAACTACTTGCCCCATTATATTCCATCCTGTTCTCCACGTCAGTAATCACCCGAGGCTCTTGTCATGAGCTGCCAAGGCTACGGAAGCCTCTTGAGTTCGCAAACTCCAACCTTATTTAGACAAGGCCATAATCAAATTTGAAGTTCTCTCCTCCCTTCAGAGAAAGGGACCTCCTTCTACGATGGCCCGTTCTTTCCTCTGGGATCTCACTCACAGAGATCTTTCATTTGGGAAATCTCGACAATAAATTTAAAGGACAGAGTAACAAGTTTCTATATAGCTCACAGATAGGCACTTCTTCAAATAATGTTTACCAATGTTCCTTTTTCTGCAAATTAGTGGATGCTTAAACTATGACAATTTTTTTAAACAAGATTTAAAAATAACAGCATGCATGAAAAAGCATTTTAAAACTGTAAAGGCTAATATTTCTTATTGACAATATTATTTTCTTAGTTCTAGTAATTACTTTTTATCTTGCAATTATATTACTCAAAAGGCAGAAATGTCAAAATAATTAGAGGTTGTCAGCAATGATTCTCATTAAAAACACTTAAAATGGAGCTGAAGGAGAGAGAAAGCCACAATTTCTGTTTTTCTTTGATCTTTAATAACCACTTACTGCTCCTTTCTTAAAGGGTAAGTACAAAAAATCTCAGTCAAGCATCAATTCGCCATTCATTAATCTGGATTCTAGATCAGAAACTCGTCTTGAACATTTCCCAAAGTATTTGACGATACAATTTTCAAATTTCTGAGGATCTGATATTGTGTAGAACTTTATGTTGTGTTTGTAGGTATTTCATGGCAAGTTTGAAAGTTAAAAAATGAAAGATTAGTTTTATAGAGCCTTTATTAAAATATTTACTTGTAACTAAAATAAGGTATTTTGCTTCTTCTTTGCCTTATTTTCCACAAATTAAATGCAAAAAAAACCCTTCTCAGCTTCTGAAAGCATATAAATCAATTTCAAAAAGGTAAATCAATATATTCCAAGTAGATAAAATGAATCAAACTAAAAATGACATTTTAAAGTATATCTGAAATGCTGTGTAAGAGGTGAAAATATGGATTCAATACCTGTGCTGACTCCTAAAACACAAGCCTACTGTACTTTAGTCTTTTGATCTCTGTATTACTTTGTATGTGTCTTTGAATGCCACCTACCTTAAAAGTAAAGGCATCAGATAATCTAATATTCCCTATTCCTCTCTCTACACACACACACCCCACAGCCTACTACACTATTCTGGGATTTTATGTAAGATCAGTCAAAATCCTTAAAAATCTTCTGGAGAGTTTGAAAACCTCTAGGTCAGAATAACAATCTGTGCTTCAAATAAAGACATGAAAAAGACTTCTATCTCAAAAATAAGGAGACACGAGAAACTCTCTTCTCAGTGGACGACCACTTCTAATGCACATGGTACATAAAAAAATCTGTACAAGCAAAATGCCAGGATGATTATTTGTCACCTAGGAATGGGCCCAGTCACCCCAGATGGTTCTTTATGATCGACAAAGTAATGAGCTGCTTCTGAAGTCAAGGAGTGCCACAAGATACCACACATGGGGCCAATAGAGACAGAAAACACAAGTTTCAAGTGTATTCAGTTTTCATGGCTGCAGTTTAAAAAAATTGGATCATTAAGCTTTGCAGAGGAAGAGGAAGGAGGACTGAGAAGTGTGGTAAGATAGTGTTTGGGATTTTTCATTCTAAAAATGTGTGTGTGTGTATTGATCTATAAAAATCTGAATGGCAAATCTCAAAATACTGAGACAAGAAAAATTTGGTGTACCAGCCTATCATTTTCTGTGTAATGAAGGCTTTACAGACACATATACATGCTTATATGCAATAAACAGTCATATTTACATAAATATGCGAGTATAGTTGTATATATTTGCACATACATGTACATGCTTATTATACATGGTTTACATAAGTAGCAACATGCTTCAAAAAGCTAGTGGAAAGTAAAATTAAATGGTAAGTTTATTTTAGTAAAAGAATTTTGCAATTCATAAGTTTTTTCATGATTTATATTTTGAAGAGCCATAGTATACACAGATTTCAAAATTTTGTTTATTGCAAAATAAACTTACCTTTAAATTCGATTTTTTAATGAACTTTTTGAAGTCTCCCCATGTGTACATATGTGTGTGTGTGTGTATTTTAACTCAGACTAAGTCAAAAAAAAGTAAAAGAGAAATGAGAACTACATACTGTACTTTAGTAAAATGTATCACAAAATTATGGTTGGCACCAGAGAGGTGGGAAATAAAATGGTTCTGATATTCTAAAATATCTAACACATCAACAATAATCTTGTCTTGTGGCTTTGCAGAAGACATCCCCACTTTCTAGAATGAGCCTGCAGCCCTTTTCTGAGTTTATCTCCTACTTTTTCATGTGAGTACCTAAAGACTCTGTGGAAGTTCTGTTTCTTCCAGGAAACTGTCCCCCATCCTAGAGACGGTGTTAGATGTCTCTCAGTCCTTTTCTACTCTCTCTCTCCTTGTAAACATCAACAAAGCATTGATGTCACCACCCAGTGGTGCATCTCCTCCAGACCTGAGTGCTAGAAGAGAAAGCTATGGATCACCAGCACAGTGCCTGGCATGGAACAGACATTTAATTATTTACTGATTGACAAAATGAGGGAACAGTTGAATGAATAGTCACACATTTGAACAAGATGATTCTTTGTAAACCATATTCTTCATTCAAAAGAAATACTTGAAACTTGTAGAACTTTGTGAATCATCCTTTAAAAAACAGAATGTTTCCCTTTGGGATATTTCATCAAACGTAAAGTCTCCTGCTATAGGCTTCTAGTTGGTTCTGAAACCCTCTCTATCGAAGACACTTCAGTAGCTGTATAATTTTTTTATCGACTTAAACTACTATGAGATGAGGGGCAAAGGTGTAGCAAGTTCAACATTTTACCGCAAGAGTTTTAACAGATTTCTTTTTAAGTGCATAGCTTTTTCTATTTACTTTCATTTTTTTCTCAGGCAAGCAGTATGTGTAAGTCACCAAACAAGAATAAAAGTTGCCCAAAATGAGAAATGTACATCAGGACAAAAGGCCTTATCTGTCACTGTCGTAACATGGCTTCCTTTCAATCCTTCCTTTGGCTTCTCTCCCCTTTTCTCCCCTTTTCTCCTTTGGCATTGCCTGTTTTTCAGTTATCACTGCTCCTCCATGTTATAAAAATGGAGTAAGATAAATATAACCGACACTAAATCCCCCTCTCCCAAAAGGACACCATCCAGATGAGGGATTATCTTACTGTGTAATGTTTTGAACTGTCTTGAATACAGGCACCCAAACCAAACAGGATAGAAGCCCACAACAACACAGAAATGTATGCAAAGCTCTTCGGCTGTGGTTGCTGGAATATTTAGAGCAGTTAACAGATAAACCTGTCATACAGCAACCTGAAAACACCAAGGTTGGCAGATGTGCAGATGCAAATAAGCCCTATAAATATATTTGCAAATTCTAACCAAGCAACAGACTACCTTACGTGCACCTTGTATGTGCCAATGAGAAACAAAAATTTTAAGTAGAATATTTTATGAGCTCATATTATTTTTCCTCAAGATCAAATATCAAGGAAACAAAGTATATGACGACACGAGATTTATACCAAAATACTTCATTACTGTATGTGTGCTCATCTTTCCTATACACTTATTCTGCAGATACCAACACTGAAATTTCAGATTCCATTAAATCTCTTTGCCTCTCAGAGAATAAAGAGTATGAGGGACTGACTGGAGAAGAGCTCACTGAACAAATACTCTGAGGACCCAACAAGGCCAAATGTCACGGTTACTGCTACAGCAAAGACAAAGAAGTATGAGGCAAATTCTTAGATCTCAGAAACATCCAGTGTCATGAATCTAAGTGAACTAAAACTAGTCCACACGGATAAACTTAAATAAGGGCCTAAATGTTTTTTGGTAATATGTAACTTCAAAGAAATTGACATTGTAAAGTCCACAGGAGGAAAAAGGGAAGCATTCTGATGGATACAAGATGACTACATTATTTTCCCATTCTGCATTTCCTACTTTGCAAATCTCACTCACTCCGTGATGCAATGACCAGAGGTCTATCTACACCCCTAGATAGACTTCCTGCATTTAGTCTTTCATTTTTTTATTTTATTTATTTATTTACTTTTTTGACAGGCATAGATAGACAGTGAGAGAGAGAGAGAGAGACAAAGGCCTTCCTTCTGTTGGTTCACCCTCCAAACAGCCGCTACAGCCGGTGCGCTGTGCTAATCCGAAGCCAGGAGCCAGGTGGGCCCAAGGACTTGGGCCATCCTCCACTGCCTTCCCGGGCCACAGCAGAGAGCTGGACTGGAAGAGGAGCAACCAGGACAGAACTGATGCCCCAACCGGGACTAGAACCCCAAGTACCGACGCCACAGGCGGAGGATTAGCCAAGTGAGCCGTGGAGCCAGCCAGTCTTTCACTTTCAACTACTGACTGAGCATCTCCATAGCAGTGACCACCCCCACCCCCGCAAAAGGCGCATCATCTATAATAAAAAGGATCTTCAAAAAGTACACGGAAAAATATGTGTGGATTTCAAAGCCTTTTTGTACCCAAATAAACTCATTTTTAATTTCATTTCTCATGAATAGTTTGAAATACCCATACATGTTTAAGATCTCCCAGCTTCCTCAGTCTCAAATCATTCATATTTCAATATATATTCAAAACTGTGGAAACTAACACAGTACCTAAAAGGTCATCTATATAAGTGAAATTGACACTTTAAGATGTGATGACTTTGAACAGTTTGTTTTTTTTTTCCCCCAAGCTATTTGTTGTACTCTGTACTTAGTGTAGGGTTAACCTTATGTGTATAAAGTTTATTGAAAATAGATCTTTGCAAAAAAAGGAAATAAGAATGAGAATAAGAGAAAGGAGGAAAAAGGGTAGGAATGCAGGAGGGAGGATGGGTACAGAGGGAAGAATCACTATGTTCCCAAATTTTATTTATGAAATGCATGTAGTTTGCACACTTTAAAAATAAAAGGCTTCTGGGAAAAACAAAAACCACCTTCCTGTGCTCCCAAGTTTAAAGTCTTGGTCTCTTCTTCCGCCTCAGTTTGAGTTTTGAACCAAATCTGATTCCTCCCTATCAACTGTGCTATCCTAAATAAATTCCTAAACTGAATAGTTTGAAAAAGTCTTGCCAATAAATGGATCACAGTCCATCTTACCTCACCTGAGTTCACATAAAACTGACCTCAACCTTGAGGCACTGTGGTTTAATCTTAATCTATTCTAATACAGAATGAACACATCTAATACACATTCATTAAACAGAGTCAAATTCACTGTGAACACAGAAATATCCAACTAAAGCCTTCTTCTATTTATTGAGATAAATTAGATAAAGTATATCCTGGGTGGTACCTTAGGAAGAAAGTGAGAATAACAGAAACATCAAGGGATCTTCAGTTTGGACGCTGAAAGGAATCCAGAAAATTATTTCTTGACCCAGAGAAAAACTGCAATAGCTGGGATTCCTCCTTATTTGAAGTTATCACTTCTCAACTTAATGCTCTGCATATTACTTTGACTTTATTTCTACTACTCTGACTGAATCAGCTTTGAATTTCCATCCAGCTCTTTTCTCCTCCTATACACATCTTAATCTAGGTCACAGTAAAGTTTAGAGTGATTTAAAGTCTTGAGATGGTACAAGTGTTTTGTTTTGTTTTTCTTTTTCTTTTTTGCAAGATTCCTTCAAGCTTTTAAGGAGTTAAAATGGTTGTTTGGATTTTCAGGGTTTTTTATTTGATTAGGTCATATTGTCTCCAGCTGATTTTTTAACATTAGACTATAACTCTGCGGACTCTCCTTTTGTTTGACAGGCAAATGTTCAGCTGGACTCCATATCACTGATATATAATACAGAATTGCAAAAAGTAAGGGGCTATGCTTATGAACAGCCAATCATCTGACCTCTTCAAACACAAATCTTCTGAAGTCTGAAGGAATATTTACTTTTCAAGTAACTGGAGTCATTTAAAAAAAACCATAAACCTTCAATTCACTTATATGCATTTATTTACTTTTGTATTCAATAAAAAATTATTTGGTGCTAATGATACATACAACATAGTAGTAGACCAAAATGTCGTAAACCATGAAAGAGTATATTCCACTACCAAACATTTTCCATTTCACAGGCAAGTTTCATATGCTATGTCTTAAATTTCCTTTTCAAAGTCTAATAAAAAAAACCATCATTTTAGGATTAAGAGAGTGTATTTTCAGAACTCCAGTGCACTGAGAATTACAGTAATAGAGAGGCCATTCAGGATGAGAGTGATCATGAAAGTCCCTTCCTCCACTAAAATTTCATGATTTTATGAATATCGAACCTTCTAATAAAGATGACCAAGGAAGACGATACTATAAGCTTTTATGAAGTTGGATGAAAAAAACAGTATTATTTAGAGATACCAGGCAGAAGTGGTATTTGTTGAGAGCTGACACACCCGTGAATGTTGATGCTTTTAGCTTTGCTTTGTGTGAAAACACCTTTCGTGGTAAACAGATTTAAAGCCCCTTGAGTATCTTCTGTGCTGTAAATCAAACAGTTCAATACTGTGCATAAACTGCCCCTTGGTCAAAACGTCGAGGCCACTGCTCAAACTCACATTTATAATAAGGAATTGAACTACCCTAAATCAAAAATAAATTCCATGCTGTATGGAAACTGTATCTCAACTGAAAAAGTGTATTTCATTTCCAATATATTTTATACAAAATTATTAAACCAACTAATATTCAATCCAATAAGTATTAAAATCAATAGCCAACTGAAACAGATACATATTGTTGGCTTTTGAGAAGATTTTCTAATAAATAGAGGCATAGCTTTTGACCTTAAAGGTAGTGGACATTTTTCTTTATCTGGAATTAAGCACTCAATTTCTTTAAGACATAAACTACATACAAGCTTCAATATACAATTTGTAAGCACTTTCAGTTACTAAATATTCTTGGTACAAAGGGAATCCCAGTTATCCCAAAGGGACTGAATACCTTAGGCAACCCTGTTGTTCCAGATGTGTAAAGAATGTACAGTGGATGCTCCGAAAGAACAGGAACACAATCGTGTGACTGGGCTTTTGCCATCTCCTCATCCCAATCAAGATCACGACCTGGTGTCAACGGAACCGTCTCCTACACAGCAGAAACACAGAAATATGCATTGTAAAAAAGGAGATGAAGGCAAAGGAACAAATGAGCTAAATCTCTGTAAGTCTGAGCACGTACTGAAAAATCTAAGCCTACGTATCACTAAACCTAAGACTTACAACTGAAAATCTCAAGGTCGTGAGGTAAGGTAAATGTATATAAAAAGTTCAATACCTTGATGTTGGCTTTAGCTGAACTGACAAAAAGAACATATTTTATTTAAATCTACGAATACCCAACAAATTCAATGTGATGCAGTTATGTTTGCACTGACACTCAGAGATCAACCCAGAGAATGTTTCCAAAATGTAAGTATCAAGTAATATCTTTTTCATCATCTATTTCTTTTACTTTTGAAGTGCTGTCATAGTGAAATGTCAACTAACCTACTAAAAATTCTCTTTATACATTTAAAACCACCTTTCTAAATAAGGGGATATTAAATTGTGTTCAGCAGTGATGGGGAATTCCACTTTCGATTTCTTAAGGTGAAAACTAGCTTTTGAAATTAATCAAAGTCTTTAGCATGCTATCCAACTATTCTTGTATCAAGGTTACTAATTAACGTTGTAGAAGTGTTTAGGTTTTCCCTGAGAACTGGTTACTCCAGTGTAAACTTTGTGATAATATGGTCATAAATAAACAGATATCATTTTATAGAAAGTAAGCAGATCCATTTTAGTATGTGGCAATGAAATGGCAAGACAAGTGAAGAAGAGGGAAGTGGTTTATGGGAAAGCTACTCTTATTGGGAATTAGAGCTGTTGAAGTAGAGTTACTACCCTTCAAATCTCTGGTTCTTTTTCCTTAACACAGACTAAACACAAAATCACAGCTTGGGAACTTTATCACTGATGAACATGTTGTCCCAGACACAAGCAAGCTTTGTGCATGTCTCAGTGCAAAAAGATTCACCACCAGCCGGCGCCGTGGCTCAATAGGCTAATCCTCCACCTTGCGGCGCCGGCACACCGGGTTCTAGTCCCGGTCGGGGCACCGGATTCTGTCCCGGTAGCCCCTCTTCCAGGCCAGCTCTCTGCTATGGCCAGGGAGTGCAGTGGAGGATGGCCCAGGTGCTTGGGCCCTGCACCCCATGGGAGACCAGGAAAAGCACCTGGCTCCTGGCTCCTGCCAGGATCAGCGCGGTGCGCCGGCTGCAGCGGCGGCCATTGGAGGGTGAACCAACGGCAAAGGAAGACCTTTCTCTCTGTCTCTCTCTCACTGTCCACTCTGCCTGTCAAAAAAAAAAAAAAAAAAAAGATTCACCACCTAGAGATTATGTAAACATTCATTTCTCCAAGGCAATCCTGAACTAAGGCCAAAGACTCAGATTCACATAATACAAGCTACTTCTTTTTTTCTAGACTCCTTAATATATTACTCAGGCAGGGTTACAAAAACTGGTCATGTACTTAAATACATGTGCTTATAAACTGATTCCTTCAATACAGGACTACAAATATAATGTCTAAATGAATAAACCCTCTTATAGAAAAAAATTTGAATTAAGGCCCTTCAAAGTCCAACTGTCAGACCCAACTGACTGAAAGACACAAGGTATGCCATTTAGATAAACAAAGATAACTATTATCAAATCATGCATTTTTGTTTTGTTAGACAAAAAATTTCAAAATATTAAACATTTGACATTATAACTGGAAGTGTCGCTCCCCCTCTTCGTGGAGGAGCAACACAGGACCCTGCGCTGTTCTTTCGTCTGCTCGGCCCTCCCCGGGTTTGCTGCTGGTTCTTCCCGGGTTGGCTACTATCCCTTCCACCTCCGTGGAAGGGCAGTTCCCCCTGGCCGCATTCCCCACTTCCGCAGGGGAGCGGCACACCGCCGGCCGGCTTTCTCGGGGGCTGCACGGGTTCCCTTAGATGTTCCCCATAGATGTTCCCGGTGCATGCCGTCTCTCTCCTCCTTTATAGTCCTCCTCTGCCAATCCCAACTCGGCTGCCCACACGCCGAGCACGCTGCTCTCCAATCAGGAGCAAGTCCTACAGTTAATTGGTTGAACTGGAGGCAGCTGTGCGGAAGCTGTTTACTTCTCTCCCAGCGCCATATTGTGGGAGAGCAGATGCATAGAATAAGTCTTAATTCGAGTAACTTAGTCTAGTCCGGATTGCTCCCCACAGGAAGCATATGTAAATCATGTTCCAAGATGAAAAACGTGAATTGAGTGATCACAAAAATAATTAAAATAATTATAGATCTATGACTTTTGTAAGTCTCTAATTGAAGACTTGACTGGTTATTTTTCAAGCTAAGAAATAAGGGTGAGTATAAACAAGATTTTATAAAACAGAGGGAAAAATCAACATTTAGCTTTTACATTTATTCATTTACTTCTATAGACATGTCTTTTCTAGCTATTTCGATTCTTAAAAGGCAGCAGTGGGAGCGCACCAAGGATGCTTGTTGTGAGACTCCTTTGATTCTGTCATTGCCTGCCTGCAGCTGAGGAGTGGCAGCCAATTTTTCACTTCCCCTGGCAAAAATGCAATCCTGGTTAATGAGACTCATCACCCAGTTTCATAACATGATTCTCTCTAAATTCAAAACAAATGCAGTCCACTGGGCTTAATTACTGCCTCAACAGTAGGTCTCCTATAAAGGCCAAACTCCCTCAAAGCCCTCATCAATACGAAAACTGAGGAAAGGGTCTGGTGGAAAAGGGAGTGGGAGAGAACATGGCTGGTCGTGGAGGAATTTGGCAGTGGATCTCTTGTCTATGAAGAAGAAACAAGAGAGAGTTGCACTAGAAAAATATGAATAGTAACATAAATATCCATATCTAATGTGCTTACTGGGTAAAGAAATAGTACATATACTGTTGGTTAAAAAAAACCAAACCAGAGTTCAAATCCTGTCTCCATGCTCACTGATTTGTGAGACTTAACTAAGTATTTGAAAGTACTTAGAATTGGGCTTAGTACATTCTATTAATTCACACTGAGAATGAATAACAAATGTGCTTAACATAAACACATTTTTACAGATCTATCTACCATTCCTCTAACCTCTTACCCAAAGCCATATTTTTGCTCATTTTTCATTCCCTGATTTAAACTGCAACAAAACCTTTTTTAAAAAATATTCTCGGGGCCGCCACTGTGGCACAGCAGGTAAAGCAGCCACCTGCAGTGCCTACACCCCATATGGGCACCGGTTCGAATCCCAGCTGCTCCACTTCCAATCCAGCTCTCTGCTATGGCCTGGGGAAGCAGAAGATGGCCCAAGTACTTGAGCCCCTGCACTTGCTTGGGAGACCCAGAAGAAGCTACTGGCTCCTGACTTTGTTTTTTTGTTTTGTTTTGTTTTAAATTCACAAGCTTTTTGGGATTCTGCTCCCAGGTGGGTTCCCTGGTCCCAACAGAGCAGGGGCTGCCAGGGAAATGCGCGTCAGAGGTTGGGAAGGCTCCTTTTATAGATACAGGACATGGGAGTTAAAGGTTGAGACAGGTCTGATCCTCATTGGTTGACCTTTAGGCACCCGTGGGGACCTTGACAAGGACTTTTCTTCCCCGGAAGTATGAGTAGAGACTCTCCATTCCCAGAAGTGTAGGCCTTCTCTCCTTGCAGATCCCAAAGCTACCATCCCGACTTTTTGATTACAGGAAAGGGGGCGATGATGAGTCTCTCTTGTGGGGAGCAACTCGGACTAGACTAAGTTACTGGAATTAAGACTTATTCTATGCATCTGCTCTCCCACAATATGGCGCTGAAAGGGAGTAAACAACTTCTATGCAGCTGTCTCTCGCCAACTTGACTGATGAGCTGCAGGAACTGATCCTGCTCCTGATTGGAGGAGAGCAGCCTGCTCGGGTGTGGGCAGCAGAGTTGGGATTGGTGGAAGAGGACTATAAAGGAGGAGAGAGACAACATGCACCGGGAACATCCGGATAACATCTGAGCAGCCCCCGAGAGAGCCGGCCGGCGGTGTGCCGCTCCCCCATGGAAGTGGGGAAAGTGGCAGGGGGAGCCGCCCCTCCACAGAGGTGGAGGGGTCGGCAGCCAACCTGGGAAGGACCAGCAGCAAACCCGGGGAGGGCCGAGCAGACAAAAGATCAGGGCAGGGTCCTGTGTCGTTCCTCCACGAATGGGGGAGTGACACTCTAGCTACTTCCTGCTGATTGGGGATGATGAGGTACTCTTCGCTGGCATGGGGTGATGTCTCAAGCCACTGTCTCCTGGGTGGGGAGCCAAATATATCCCTGTAGCAGCATTTGGTGGACCACCTGGTTGCTGAAGGTCTTGGTTCGTTCCATTATCATCTGCTGTAAACACTTAAACAGACACTGTAGTATACAAGTCAGGGTGAGAATAGCAACCAATGATCCTAAGAGTGGCATTAACCAGGTAATGAAAGGATTTCATAGAGGAGAGGAAATGAGGAGGGTCTCTGGACCCTTGTGAAGACTGTTTGATGGACGTGGTTTAAAGCTGATCCCAACCAGGACCGGGAGAAAGGCCACTCAACTTTTGCAGGTAGTGGGGTTTGTCTGTAGAGAAATTCTGAATAATCATACAACATTAAGTGGAGGAGAGGACCATCAGTACACACAGGTTGGGAGTAGAGCCATTGATGTTAGAGTAGAGGTTATGATTACAAAGGAATTAGACCCAAGTGGGCTAGACAGGGTCTAGAACAAAGGACAGAGTCATTATTAGAGGACCCAAGAAAAGTGCTGTCTAAGCCACGAATAAGTTCTCCGATTGAGAGACAAATAGAAACTGACAGAAGGGGCTTGAGAATAATCTGGTGGGCTTTAGGCCTTGTAAGTTAAGAGGCCCAGACCTATCTATCTCTTCACATAGGGTACATTCTAAGAGAGGTGTGGACCTCCTTGGGGAAGGCACCCTGTTGAGTTCCATTACCTACCTGGCCTGGGAGGACAGCTGGCCAGGTAAAGGCAGGTGGCATCTCTAAGAGGAAATTTACAGTTCTGCCTGCAATATTGCTGACCCTACTTGGCCGTCCCCTCAGCTGTGGTAGTCACTTTGGAAGCTGGGCTGAGTGAAGGGCTTTTCAGCTTAGAGCCAATAAGATCTGTGGCTCTGACTTGGGCGTCCTTCGACTCCAAGGCAGGTCCATTTCCAGTGATCCAACTCTTGGCTGGCAGAGCTGCCAGGGCTCTTCATAAGCTGATTTCTGCTGAAGCCCAGGCTCACCACATTGAAAGCCACTGCAGTGGACTGGCCTGTAGGGTCTCCTTGAGGGGAGATCACTGTACAGAGCAGCCTTTAATAGGCCTGCCACCTATCTTTACATTGCTTCTGCTGCCTAGCTTTCTCTTCCTCCTGGTTTTTGTTAAAGCAGACTGGAGGATGCAAGTTAAGGGGGTGCTCAAGTCCCATCTCTAATTTTTGTGGCCTTAACTAGAAGTGTAGTCACAGGCATGTTCTGATAGTGGTTTTTCTGAGGTAGATAATGCCCAGGAGGAAAGCCATGTCCTCGCTTTAAATCTTTCTTTCCCTTTGTTTCCTGGTTTTCGATCAGTGCGGCTCCAGCCGCTGTGGCCATCTGGGGAGTGAACAGCGGGTGGAAGACCTCTCTCTCTGCCTCTGCCTTTCAAATAAATAAATATTAAAGATATATATGTATATTATTCCTAAGATCTAAAAGCTGAAACAATTAAGAACATTAAAATCATTGAGTGCAGCAGTTCATAAAACACAGCCTATTAAAACTTCCAGGAATTTAATGTAGTGATGGGAATTGCTAGGTGGTAATCAAAACGACATTATTTTAACATTCTCTGTTTTCACATCTTGTCATTTGAGGGCTTCCTGCACATAATCTCTCAAGAGTTCTACAAAACTGAACATGATTCAGCGCTCATGTAATTTCTTTTCTGCAAAAAATTTTTATCTGCCAGAAATCCAAGTTGATCCCACTGTAAATAACTGGTGATTATCAGGTCAAAGTTAATAGGAAATGTATTGTAAAGTATATCCTTTCATATATTATATTACTGTATCACAGACTAATTTTTCTGTTTACTATATTCATGCTTTATTTTTCCTGCCTACGGTTTTACTTCCAGCCTAAATGCTCTCCTAAATTGGAAAAAAAAAAAACATTTTGCATACAATTTAATCCATCTTCCCAAGATGCAAGATAAGAGAGGGATTATGTATACAGTCAGAGCACATATATTCAAATCATCTATCTATGCACTTAATAACTAGGCAAATTATTTCTATGTTCATTAATTCTACTTCTTTAAAATGCAGATAATGATACCTGCTAGCTCATAGAATTACTGAACACATTTAAAAATCCATTAGTAGAGTGTCTTAAAAACCAAATGTTAAGCAATCAAGTTACCGTTAGTGTTATTGTAAAACTGAAAGTAATATGTGAAATTACATCAGCATTAAACATAGAACCCAACTCTTTATTATGACAGTTCTGTGTTTCAAATTTTTTTATTCTAAGCTAACTTTTCAAAGACCGTAATATCATTTGAATTTTTCCTAGAAAAATCAGTGGTGTTTTTTTAAAGTACATATAACAGCTTAACAATAATTATCTCTTTCAAACAGACAAAATTCAATCCTCTTTAACACATTACCGTAAGCAAGAACCAAATTCAATATTCAGTTTACCATATTTGGACGATTATAAATGAGGACTTTGTTTGGCTTGTGGTGTCCCAGTCGTAGAGCTTCTTCTATAAGTGGTTTATATTCTACTCTCCGGCCAGGTTCAATACCAAATGATGCTGTAACAAGCACTTTGGGCTACAATGAAAAAAATTGAGAATTCTTTAACAAGTCCAATTAAGGCAGTCACAAAATTCCAAAAGCAGACTAGCAGCTTACCATTTCTAGAGAATGTCTGAGTGGCTCTGTGCGCTATTGAATAAATGGCTTGAAAACCCAATACACCCTTTTTAGATGTTATAAACCTAAACAGCTCCACATGAATCTCACCAACTTGTTCAAAATTACAATGATGATTTTGGCTTATAAGCATGAGCTGTACAAAATATATCCCAAAGAAATCATTAAGACAGGTGGATTTGCCACATATTTGAAATGAAAACCTCAGTTGTAGAGCTCCCTGCTCCCCACCAGAACTGGTTACTGCTTAGGTTGGAGCCTGTCTTAGATAGCCAGCCCGTTACAGTCACTAAGAATGTCTAACATTTTCTATGTATCTCTTCTAAGTGTCTAAAGAGAACTCAGAAGGAAAGAACCTGAAACTGAGATCAATTTTTAATGATTTTAAGAATTCTAAATATATATTCATGCTTGTCAAATATTATGCTAACTTTAGCATATTTGTCATGGAGGATCCCTAAATGTTTTAAATTTCAATTCCCACAAAGCCTAGACCTGCTTTTGCTGTTAAGACACATTTAACGGGGCTGGCGCTGTGCCACAGCTGGTTAAAGCCATGGCCTGAAGCACCGGCATCCTGTATGGGCACCAGTTCAAGACCTGATTGATCCACTTCCAATCCAGCTCTCTGCTATGGTCTGGAAAAGCAGTACAAGATGGCCCAAGTCCTTGAGCCCCTGCACCCACGTGAGAGACCCGGAAGAAGCTCCTAGCTCCTGGCTTCGGATCGGCTCAGCTCTGGCCATTGCGAACAATTGAGGAGTAAACCATCAGATGGAAGATCTCTCTCTCTCTCCTCCCCTCTCCCTAGCCCCCCCCCCACCACTTTCGAATAAATAAATAAATCTTTAAAAAAACAAAAAGATACATTTAACACTCTTTACTTCATTCTTCAAGACATACTCAGGAGTAGCCAAAAGAAGTCCCTAGGGAAGACCTGGTCTGGGTTATCTCCATTCCCCAGCCTCATATGTCAACTACAGCCAGCGTTTTCATTCATCTCCCCCACGGCACAGTAAGCTCTCCAAAGCCAGGTGAGGATGTCACTTATCTTTATGTCCCCTATGCCTGGTGCAGTCTGTGCTGAAACACAGCCTTGAATAAATATTTGTGGAACTGAACCAAAATTTGAATTAATTTGCAGAAACAAACATGCCTTTATTTTCTTTATGTACATTATTTCTTCACTAAAAAACCCAAAGTAAAAGAGATGGATAATAAATAATTCAGGAGACAGAAAATCAACCCAAGGTATTTCATCTATTTCTGAATTCTGGTTTCTGAGAAACTTTTTACTGTGCTAACTATATGCATATATAATAGTTTCTGCTTTTGAATATCATTTAATATTCATGGAGCTGAGACTCAGTGCAGTTACACAGCTTGCCCCAGGTTACAAGTGATAGAGGCAGAAACAGGGCTCATTCTGTCTGATTACGAAGCCTTTCCCTCTCCACTATGTTAACTGGCTTTTAAAAGAAAGAGAAGAAAGGAGAAAAACAAATCTTATTTCCTCTTATTATATACTTTAGATGTTATATATTTGAATATAATTTATATTTTAATATCTGTAAAAATTTCACAAATAGTTCTAGATAACATTCCCCAAGATTAGAATACTAAATGAACGAAAGTAAGCTAGGTAACAAATTAAGAACATATATGGTATTTGTAAAAATTTGAATATTTAATACTGTCAAAAGAAGAGCCTTCCTCTGGGGAAAAAAATCCTTTTCACATTTAAGTTAACAGCCTCTTACTGGGACATTTTATTGGATCTAGACTGATTTCTTAGAACACAGTCTTTTTATCTTTATTTGTTAAAACAATTTTTTCCTTTAGCCTACTAAGTCGTTCCTCACTGGTGGAGATATGCTCAGAGATATGTATCCTTATGTGACTTTACCATTGAAGAAGCACCACGGACTACACTTCTGCAATCTAAGACAGCTACAGCACCACCAGGACGTCATGCTCCCAACACCCACCCTGGAATATTCCTCCTCTCACAGACAGAAGGGCCAAATGACATATTTGGGAATCATGACATAAAAACCATAGATTTCAATTCTTAGTTTTATTTAAATACATGAGATGTGCATCTCTATATGTATGTTCTCTCCTGAAATCGGACCTGCCAGATGACCTTGCCCGCAAGAATATGCATTGATTTCCTAAATTTCCTGACAAGCTTACCTGTTTCTATGTGTGTTATGAATGAAAACTCCTCCTAAGTGTACAGCTTAAGTTTCATAAACCCTTTTTAGATATTTCAATTTTCTAATACTTGGAAAATATTTTTGGCAATATACCCAATACTTTCGTCTGAATGATGTTTAGTATTCCCATACCTACAAAACTGGGATCTATAGCTTCCTCAGAGAAGTCCTAACTTCTCACTGACTGAGAAGTTGGTGACTGACAGACATCCCCCTAGATTGCCTTTGTAGGCACTAACTTAATGTGTTTAAAAAAGAAATGGGAGGCCCAGCACTGTGTCATAAAGTTAAAGTCCCGGCTACTCCACTTCCTGTCCATCTCCCTGCTATTGTACCTGGGAAAGCAGTGGAGGACAGGCCAAGTGCTTGGGCCCTTGCACCCATGAGAGAGACCCAGAGGAAGCTCCTGGCTTCCAATCAGCTCAGCTCTGGCTGTTGTGGCCATTTGGGGAATGAACCAGCTGACAGGAAGACCTTTCTGTTTCTCAAGTAAATAAATTTAAAAAAAAAAAAAAGGAAAAAAATCCCAGGTGGTTAGTCCAGGAATCAACATCCTGGTTCCAATAACTAACCCTTCACCAGGTAAAGTAAGGTATGCAAAGCCTGACTCTATGCCAAGCACTCGGGCACTCTCAGTGTTAGTTTCCATCTCTATTAAGGATGTCTCCTCACAGGATTGTCCAAGTCTAACGGTCAGCTGTATGTTACACCCATATCAACCATCCTTCCTTAATCCTCCCGCTATGGGTTTCTCCTTTATAAAATGCTTTGCTTCTCAGACGAGCTAACAAAGGTCCTTGTTCCAGCCTCGAGTTTCTTCCCCATTCATGTCATGCTTCAAGCTGGCCTCTCCTTCACAGTATGGATGACAGGATGCTCATCTGTCAAAATCCTCACTGCGTAAGTTCTACAGAATTCAGTTCACAAAACAGCCTGTCCCTGCCAGCTCGCCTCCGCTCCCTCCTCCTTCACATCACTCAAATTCACGGCACTCCACACATCTTCACACTCAATATACTTAGACACTCAAATATGATTAGACTCTCAAAAAAGCGCACACACACACACAGAGACACACACATACATTTTAAAGATTATTTATTTGAAAGGCAGAGTCAGAGAGAGAGAGAGAGAGCGCACGACGAAAAGAGAAGGGGAGATAAAGAAACATCTTCCATCTGCTGGTTCACTTCCCAGATGGCTGCAACGTCCCGGGCTGGGCCAAGCCAAAATCAGGAGGCAGGAGCTTCTTCTGGGTCTCCCGTGTGGCAGGGGCCCAAGAAACTGTGCTGTCTTCTGTTTCTTTCCCAGGTGCCATTAGCAGGGAGTTGGATCATACACAGAGCAGCCAGGAACAAGCCAATGTCTATGTGGGATGTCAGTACTACAGGCTGCGACTTAACCTGCTGTGCCACAGCGGCAGCCTAGTAGACTCTTAAATATATTCATATACTCAAATATATGACAACCACTCATTGTCTTCTCAAACGAACATTACCCTTTCCTTCTATGATGCTTGACTCATACACTTTTTCCTTTTTTAGCTCCCACTACGTAATTCTCAGCTAGCTCAATAGTAACCAAAAATCCAATTCAAATCTCATCCCCTTCTGAAATCACTCTTCATTCACCTCAACTAGAAGAAAGTGCTCCTTCCTATAAATCAGGGGACTGCAAATTATGGTTGTGAGCCAAACCCAGCCAACACCCTATGTCAGTAAAACGTGGTTAGGACACAGCCATTCCCATTAATGTATTTCCTGAGACCGCTTTCATTCTGTAGAGCTGTACTTGCAACTGATACTATGTAATTGACGAGGCCTAAAATATTTACTAAGTGCTCATTTACAGGAAAATTGTTGCTGACCCTGCTAATTAATATATTAAAGATAATGATGGGGGCAAGTGCTGTGCATAGAGTGTTAAGTCACTACCTGCGATGCCAGCATCCCTTATAGGGATGTTCAATTCCCTGCTGCTCCACTTACGATCCAGCTCCCTGTTATTAAGCATGGGAAAGCAGTGGAAAATGGCCCAAGTCCTTGGGACCCTACATCGCACGTGAGATCCAGAAGTTCCTGGCTTCAGATTGGCCCAGCTCCAGCCATTGCAGCCATTTGGGGAGTGAACCTGAAGATGGATGGTCTCTCTCTCTCTCTCTCTCTCTCTCTCTGCCTCTTTGTACCTTTGCCTTTCAAGTAATAAATCTTTTAAAAAAAAGATAATAATGATTGCTAATATCTTTTAAATGAGTGTTATATGCCAGATGCCATGCTAAGTGTATTAAATTCAGTATCTCAATGATATTGCACAACAAACTTAAAATGTGTATGTTAGTACCCCATTCAAATATGTGATCCTACCCCTCCTGGGCACCCTCTATCAATCACCGGGTTATAGCTCCATTATTGAAAATATATAGATGATAAAACTAGTTATTAGCCTATTAGATAAGCACTACTTACTATCCAGTTCCAAAGACAGTGACAGGCACACAGAAGGAATGTAATAATTATCTAGAATAAATCCAATAGTTGTTATTTCTCTTGTATGTTTTATACACCCAAATATATTATAAGCTAACTTAAAAGTATGCATCTCATCTTATATTTTACATTTCTCAAATCACAAAGCAAGATTCGTTTCAAATAGGACCGATTCAAAAATAAATGTTTGATTAATAAATATACACCAAAGAAAAGCAAATTTTAAGTACTTCATTTGAAACACAGATCTAACAAGTAAGATAATACATGGTTGATTCATGCACAGTTAAATATGACTAAAATATTAGAGAAAAGTACCACTTGATCTTCCCCCAAATAAAGCACTTACCTTTGCATGATCAATGCGACTACTTAGTTCTTTGGATGCAAATCCTCCAAATATGAGACTGTGAATGGCTCCTATCCTTGCACAGGCCAGCATGGCATACATGGCCTGTGGGATCATAGGCATGTAAATGACCACAGTGTCACCTTTGCTGATGCCATGCTTGACCAAAACACCAGCCAGCTTAGAGACCTGTTATAAAAAACAATACATCAGCTAAGTGCTTTCTGTTTCATTTCACTAAACTAAGTTACGGTACTAGCTCTACAAGATGATTGCCCACTTGATAGTGGTCAAAAGAGGCCAGGAAAACATATATCTGACAGTGATTATGGTTTAGAAGATGACAATAATAATAGGTCTGTATTAGTTTAAATTTGCTTAATCTTCATTTCACAACATCTTGTCGCTCCCCCTCTTCGCGGAGGAACGACACAGGACCCTGCGCTGTTCTTTGGTCTGCTCGGCCCTCCCCGGGTTTGCTGCTGGTTCTTCCCGTGTTGGCTACCGTCCCTTCCACCTCCGTGGAAGGGCGGTTCCCCCTAGCCACTTTCCCCACTTCCGCGGGGAAGTGGCACACCGCCGGCCGGCCCTCTCGGGGGCTGCACAGGTGTTCCTTCAGATAGATGTTCCTGGTGCATGTTGTCTCTCTCCTCCTTTATAGTCCTCTTCCACCAATCCCAACTCTGCTACCCACACGCCGAGTACGCTGCTCTCCTCCAATCAGGAGCAGGTCCTACAGTTTATTGGTTGAACTGGAGGCAGCTCTGTAGAAGCTGTTTCTCCCTTCTCAGCGCCATATTGTGGGAGAGCAGATGCATAGAATAAGTCTTAATTCCAGTAACAGTCTAGTCCGAGTTGCTCCCCACACATCTATACTAGACTACTACGATGTGTCAGACTTCGTGTTCCAGGTAGGGAACACAGCACTGAAAAGATGCAGACTTGCTCCTATGGAGCTGATATTCTAAATGGTGAACGTCAAGTGAAAATAAAAGTAAGATCATTACATATATATATATATACACACACATATATGTTAAAGGAAACAGGTACATATTAAGAAAGAAAGTATACTGTCATAACACGTATAAGGAAAATAAAACAATTACTACTATTTTATGAAGGAACTTCAAAAGGTTCATGGAAAGGACAGCATCATAGAACAAGTCAAGCCACCTCGTGGGATATCTGATCCTGAATCAGAGTGTTGTTCAAGCCCAGCCACTCCAGTTCCAACCCAGCTTCCTGCTAGTGCACCTGTGAAGGCAGCAGACAAGGGCTCAAGTACCTGAGTCCCCCCTGCCACCCACATAGGAGACATGGATGGAGTTCCTGGCTCCTGGCTTCTCCCTGGCCCAGCCCTGGCTATTGTGGGCATTTGGGGATTCAAAGAGCAGATGGTAAGATTTCTTTCTCATCCACATTCATTCTCTCTCTCTCTCTCCCCCGTTCTGTCACTCTACCTTTCAAACAAACAAATATATCTTTATAAAATAGATCACAGAAAATGGAATTTTAGTGCAAAAATATTTTAAATCTGTGCAGTTTTTTCGTTATACATTTCCATGAAATTTTTGAAGATCCTCTGCATTCTCATTTTTAAGATAAAGTATCTGAAGCTCAGGGTTAACAAACAGCTAGCCCAGAATCACAGAAATACTAAATTTTATACCCAGGTACTCTAATAAGGCTTCTGTCTTTATATTTTTTTTAATTTTTTTTATTTGACAGATAGAGTTAGACAGTGGGAGAGATAGACCGAGATAAAGGTCTTCTTTCCATTGGTTCACCCCCCCAAATGGGCACTATGGCTGGAGCTATGCCGATCCAAAGCCAGGAGCTGGTGCTTCCTCCCGGTCTTCCATGCGGGTACAGGTACCCAAGGACTCAGGCCATCCTCCGCTGCCTTCCCAGGCCACAGCAGAGAGCTGGACTGGAAGAGGAGCAACTGGGACTAGAACCCAGTACCCATATGGGATGCCAGCGCCACAGGCAGAGGATTAACCAAGTGAGCCACGGCACTGGCCCTATGTCTTTATATTCTTTGTTCTTTCTACTGTTTCAAGCCAATTATTTTTTCTTTGGTGCTTTGAATACTCGTCATTTATGGAAAGTGATTTCCCTCTTAATCCAAACACACAATTTTTTACAATTTTAATGTGTGTTTCTAAGAACAAACATACAAATGTCTCTTTCCTCAAAATCTTTTTTATTGATTAGGTATTTGAGATTATAGAGAGACAGGCAAACACAGAAAAAGAATTTCCATCCACTGGTTTTCCCCTCAAATATTTGCAACAGCCAAGGCTAAAGAAGAGAGCTGAAAGGTTAATCTAGATGACTCACGTGGGTATCAGGAATTCAATTACTTGAGCCATCACTCTGCCTACCACAGTCTGCATTAGCAGGAGGTGGAGTCAGAAACTAGATCCAGGTGGCAAACTCAGGTACTCCATCTTAACCACTAGGCTAGATGTCCGCCCCTTAACATGCTTTTGTAATTTGTAGTAATAAAGGGAAAATAGATCATAAGCCTGCACATGATATAATTTGATCTGAGATACCTTTCCAAGCTTTCCATGGGCAACTACAGCAGCCTGAGAAGTACACTCAGACCATGGTGAATAAATACTGCAACATCTTTTCATTTAAAAACAAAATACATTGAATCCATTATATATGCCAGGCACTCTTATCTGTTGTATCAGGTCCACAGACAAAACAAGGTAACTATCTCTATCCTCCAGGTATTTATATTTTAATACAGGAGATATTATCAATAAACAATAAACATAATAAGTTAGTAAATTATATATTAAATCAAAAGAATATCATTGCAACTGGGAGAGCAAAGTCGAACAGAATGAAAAATGATTAGTAATGCAAGAAAAGGGTGGTCGTAATTCTTAATGGAAATATCAGGGTGGACATGAAAAAGGTAGATATTAAGTGGCTACCTGTAAATACACCATTGTTGCAGCAGGAACAATGCAAGGTGTAAAGGGTTAAGAAGGACCACATGTGATGTGATGAAAGACCAGAAAGGATACAAGGGGACTAGAGCAGGAACAAGCAAAAAGGCAGCTTCACATCAGGTCAGAGAGCTCAAGAGCCTGTAGGGTGCCAAGGGGCAACAGGAAAGACTACAGCTTGACTTTGAATGTGACTGTTCAGGATAAACAGAACAGAACTGAGAGAAGGAATTGGGCCACATGGCTATTTGTGGTCCCTTTCATTTCTCTCCCCCTCTGCTACTTCCTGAACAAGTTCAAAGAATGCTGTATCCTGACCATTTTGCTTTCCTCTCTTTATTCACTTCCTCTGTGCTGATGGAGGAAAATGTGGCAAGCTTAAAGGGATCTGGTGAAAGAAAGTATACCAAAAAAAAAAAAAAATCAATGTTTTAGTCTTCCCTATGTTGCAAACTCTACAATTGGATGCGGTGTTTTAAGAACTCTAGAGATTTCCAACAAAAAGTTACAAGAAAAATACACCAGAGGAGTATCAATCATAAACTTAGAGTTCAAGAACAAAGATAAACACTGGGAAGTTACAGCCAACCATCTCAATGTTTGGTAGCTAAAAAAAGTGACCATACCCTGTGATCACTCTGTTGGCTGTCCCACTTAACGTACAGCTCTGAGTGCGACCAGGCAAGCAGTTCTTCCCGGGGTTGGTGTTGTGACAGTGGGTTAAGCTGTCACTTGGGAGCCCCATGTCATACTGGAGTGCCAGTCTCAGCTACTCTACTTCCAAGCCAGCATTCCTATGCATATCCTGGGAGGCAGCAAGGAAATGGCCCAAGAACTAGGGTTCCTGCACCCATGTGGGAGACCCAGATGGAGTTCTGGGCCCCTGGTTGCTTGCAGTTAAGGAGTTTCCTCTCATTCTTCCTCTTCCTCACATTCTCCCTTTGTGCCCTTTCGAATGAAACAACAATAAATTGTATTTTTTAAAAAAGCAAAGATCCAAAAATGGTAGTTCATGGACCAAATGTGGTTCCACGATGTATTTAAGTTCTGGCCTTAATGTTTTAAAATGATACTCTTCTCAAATCTAGAAAACATGATGCTGAAATTCATATTGAAACAGAAAATCCATTGGTCTATCCATCTGTTTCTATACCAGTACCATGCTGTTTTGATTACAACTGCCCTGTAGTATGTCCTGAAATCTGGTATTGTGATGCCTCCAGCTTTGTTTTTGTTGTACAAGATTGCTTTAGCTATTCGAGGTCTCCTGTGTCTCCATATGAATTTCAGCATCATTTTTTCTAGATCTGAGAAGAAGGTCTTTGGTATCTTGATTGGTATTGCATTGAATCTATAAATTGCTTTTGGGAGAATGGACATTTTGATGATATTGATTCTTCCAATCCATGAGCATGGAAGATTTTTCCATTTCTTGGTATCCTCTTCTATTTCTTTCTTTAAGGTTTTGTAATTTTCATCATAGAGATCTTTAATGTCCTTGGTTAAGTTTATTCCAAGGTATTTGATTGTTTTTGTAGCTATTGTGAATGGGATTGATCTTAGAAGTTCTTCCTCAGCCATGGCATTGTCTGTGTATACAAAGGCTGTTGATTTTTGTGCATTGATTTTATACCCTGCTACTTTGCCAAACTCTTCTATGAGTTCCAATAGTCTCTTAGTAGAGTTCTTTGGGTTCCCTAAATAAAGAATCATATCATCTGCAAACAGGGATAGTTTGAGTTCTTCCTTCCCAATGTGTATCCCTTTAATTTCTTTTTCTTGCCTAATAGCTCTGGCTAGAACTTCCAGAACTATATTGAATAGCAGTGGTGAGAGTGGGCATCCCTGTCTGGTTCCAGATCTCAGTGGAAATGCTTCCAACTTTTCCCCATTCAATAGGATGTTGGCTGTGGGTTTTTCATAGATTGCTTTGATTGTATTGAGGAATGTTCCTTCCAAACCCAGTTTGCTTAGAGTTTTCATCATGAACGGGTGTTGTATTTTATCAAATGCTTTTGCTGCGTCTATTGAGATAATCATATGGTTTTTCTTCTGCAGTCTGTTAATGTGGTGTATCACATTGATTGTTTTGCGCACCTTAAACCATCCCTGCATACCAGGGATAAATCCCACTTGGTCTGGGTGGATGATCTTTCTGATGTGTTGTTGCATTCTATTGGCGAGAATTTTATTGAGGATTTTTGCATCTATGTTCAT